GTCTTTGGCAGTGTTGTGTTGATGGTTGGACTCGAGGATCTTAAAGGTCCCCTCCAACCTAAGCGATTCTATGATTCCATGATTCTATGACTCTCTTTTCCCAGCCAGCCAGGTTGGACAGGGCTTGGAGCAACTCGGTCTAGTGGAAGATGTCCCTGCCCAGGGCAGGGGGTGGCACTGGATGATCTTTACGGTCCCTTCCAACCCAAACCGTTCCCTGATTCTATGAAAGGTGACATTTGTGGGGATTTTGCAGCCGCAACCTGGCCAGTTAGTGACCTTGGGGGATAAGTGTCCTCCTACCTGGGGACAGGATGCAGATGGCCATGAGGAGCACGTGCTCTTCTTCGTGAAGGTTCAGCTTCTTCAAGCCAACCTGGAATTTGACGAGCGGCTCGAGCAGGTCCATGCTATGGCCAGCTGGGAAGAGAAAAGGACTTTTAGCGCAGCTGAGGGACACGTGTAGCGCTCGGCAGCTCCTCTTTCAGCACAGCAGAGAGCCGGGACAGTGGAAGAGGACTTTTGATATAGCTTAAAACCTGTCATTTTTTTATTGTACTTTTCTCCACAGGGATTTTCCTAAAGCAGGAGATGATGGAGCTTTTGAAATCTATACAATTAACCTACCTACAGACATTTTGCCTCCTTGTTATCGCTTCCACGCTGCCCCGTGTCCCACACAAGCACCACAAAGCCCACCTCGTGTCCCCAGAGCCCTCCTGCGAGCAGATCTCCTTGCCCTCGTTGAACTTCATTCTCACATCTGAGTTTAGGGCTGGGATGACATTTCTTAGCCCGCACCAAGCAGGAGAGTGCCTGGCACTGCCTTTACCTTGGGTGACGTCGCTGATCCTGTACTTGAAGTCATTGCTGCCGCAGGTCCACGTCATGTCCTCGAGGGTGAAGGACTGGTTCGAGCGCAGCATGATCACCTCAATGGCGCTGGATTTCAGCAGGGCGATCTGGTCCTCTGCTGTCAGGTCCCTGGGCAGGGGGAAAAGGGTGACGTGAGACCTGTCCGGCGAGGAAAGGAACAGAAACCTGCCACCCACGCGCCGGGTTCTCCAGCGGTAACCCAGTGCCTTTGCTGGGGGCACCCCAGCTTCTCCCTCACCCCGGGTTTCTCTGTGATTAAGCAGGAGGTATTTTTGCAGCTGCATTTATTGAGCGGCACCAGCCTGGAGATAAACGGGACCTGAGGTCCTTCACAAACCAGGATGGGGACCACTCATATGGCTTTGAGCATCTTAGGAGCTCAAGCATTTTGCTGACAAGAGCGTGGGTGACTGAGGGTAAAGACAGGAGAGGAGTAACCCCAGGAAGGAGGAGAGACAGAAAACGTGAAAGTAGGAACAGACCTGGGAAGGGAACAGAGCCCGAGGGACAGCTGTGAAGATGAAACAGAGAAAAATGATCTGGCTGTGAAGGGTAGGATGGGATTCCTGAGAGTGGAAAACCACCATGGGCATAGGATCTGGGAGCAAACGTCTCACCTGAATCCCGGGATCATTTTGGCAAAGCCGATCACCTTCTGTATGCTGTAGCTGACCAGGTCGGCCAAGTGCGGGAGCATGGAAAGGTGGGAGAAGTCGATGTTCATCGAGGAACTCTCGTCATTCTCCTCGGAGAGGACCAGGTTCGAAAACATCTGGGGCTCCACAGACTCTGGAGAGAGGGAGACGGTCAGAGGGTACCTCAGTTGTAGGCAAGACATGATGGGTGAGGGGACAACGCCAGCAATGATGCCCTAGTTCAACCAGGCCAAGTGCAGGGTCCTACATCTGGGTCGGGGCAATCCCAAGCACAACTCCAGGCTGGGCGGGGAATGGACGGAGAGCAGCCCTGAGGAGAAGGACTTGGGGGTTCTAATGGATGAGAAGCTCAACAAGAGCTGGCAATGTACGATTGCAGCCCAGAAGGCCAACCGTGTCCTGGGCTGCATCAGAAGAGTGGCCAGCAGGGTGAGGGGGGGATTCTGCCCCTCTGCTGCGCTCTGGGGAGACCCCCCTGCAGTGCTGCCTCCAGCTCGGGGGGTCCCACCAGCAGAAGGACACAGAGCTGTTGGAGCGGGGCCAGAGGAGGGCACGGAGATGCTGGGAGGGCTGGAGCCCCTCTGCTGGGAGGACAGGCTGGGAGAGTTGGGGGGGTTCAGCCTGGAGAAGAGAAGGTGAAAAAGGGGAGAGCTCAGAGCCCCTTCCAGTGCCTAAAGGGGCTCCAGGAGAGTGGGGAGGGACTTGACAAGGACATGGAGTGATAGGATGAGGGGGAATGGCTTCAAACTGGAAGAGGGGAGATTTAGGTGAGATCTGAGGAAGAAATTGTTGAGTGTGAGGGTGGTGAGCCCCTGGGGCAGGTTGCCCCGAGAAGCTGTGGCTGCCCCATCCCTGGAGGTGTTCAAGGCCAGGTTGGACGGGGCTTGGAGCAACCTGGGCTGGTGGGAGGTGGCCCTGCACGGGGCAGGGGGGGGCACTGGATGGTCTTCAAGGTCCCTTCCAACCCAAACCATTCTGTGATCCTATGATGCAGCCCAGCGTCCACGTTCACACTCCTCTTGGCCACGCTGGAGGGCTCAGACACACAGAGGTCTGCAGGGCCACGATCCAGCCAAGCACTTCATGCTTTTTGCTCGCAAAAAACCTTTGCAACACACCCAGGAGAGTCTTACAGTTAAATAAGCTCCCTAGAAGAGCTAAAACAAGGGTCTGAAGGAACAGACTTAGGTAAAGCTGCTGCATTTCTACCCCCATCATCTATGGAGAGGTGAGTGTGGTACCTGGAAACGTGCTGAAGGCATCGGAGCCAAAGAGGTCAGTGGAGTCCTCCGATGACAAGTCCTGGGTGAGGATGGAGGAGGACCTTGCTGCTCCCCTGCTGCTCGAGTTGCCTCTCACGGGGGGCTGGAAGAAAGAGCAGGACATGAGGAACGGGGCTGGGAGAGCTATTTGGATGGCAGTTGTTCACCTGCTGCCAACAGCATCAAGGTTTTTGCACTGGGATTTTTAACTCCTCTCTAAATGAGAAGCTGTGGGATGAAATAGGTTTGGTGCATCCCATGCATGGGAATCAGGGCCGGTGTGCCCCGGACGTACCCGAAACTT